ACTCCTACCACGGAGGGAAGGAGGAAGGTTTTAGTTTAGAGGAGATTAAAATGGATTGCTGAAGGACATACGCACTTAAAAAATTTAGGCGCAAATTCTGTCTATAATGATGTTACCGGGGTATGTCAAGTCACCATACATGTACGATTTTTACTAATACCAAGCATTTTTCTTGATAAAGTTCAGAAAAAAGGAGTATTTATTCTTTTTTACTGTAATTAACTTTGCAATAAAAGTGCTCGAACAACTACAACGATGGAGTAAACCAGCAACAAGTAATTAGTGATTTCAGTAAACTTATTTCGTTGAACAGGTTAAGTGTTATTGTCAGAGAAAACCGGGCAGGAGCAAAAGATCGAGGTCGGCGTTTGACCTCCTCCTTTTTACCATAGGAAAGCCACCTAAAGGGATTATCAACGGTGGTATTTTCAGAAGTTGGTGGGTTTTTTATTTGAAGATAAAAATTTCCTTGAAAGCGGGGCCTTTCACGGGCATGAAATGTCTTGATTTTCGGCCAACTTTTGTTGAACCTATATCAGAAATAACACCAAGCGAAAAAAAATTGCCTTTCTTTTTTTGACTTCTTTAACCTTTTATAAACCGATTGAAATATAACCCAAGTCGTTAATGAACCAGACCCAGATTTCTGCCATTTTCACACTGCTATTTTCTCAAAAGTGCGCGGTTTATTTTTAAAGAAAGTTACTTTCTTGATAGCCCATTAAAGCTTTGCTAAAATGCAGCAAACTTAAAAATGGTACCTCTCAGTAACTCGGAATTATTGACTTGGAAAGTTCCACTAAAATAGCGTGAAGCCAAAAGTTTCCCGCCAAATTTTCACCAACGAATTTTTTCCATCAACTTCTCTCGGCATTGAGGTCACACATCCTCAGCAGGGTCTTTAAGAAGGTGATCAGGTTGAATCTCCTTCACTAGTTAGTGGCTATTAGATTGTAATTTTGATAAAGTCCGCATTTAATTAAAAAAATCAGATATCAACTAATGGAATGAAATTGGCCCAATTTTCCCGCGAAATCTTTTTTTTTTTCGTGTCACGCTACATCGAACCCCTGTGAATTTATTCGACTTTACTTTGTCTATCTTTGCCGACGATACTATTAGTAAAATGTTAAGAAGAAAAATCCAAAATTTGTGTTTAATTACTGACGTCTACCGAAAAACTGTTGTTTACATAATACCGTGATAAGATCAGTGTGTTTTAACTTGCATGTAGGATTGATTTAATTTGTCATGTAAGCCTTCCGACAAAAAACTGCCTGCTTTGCTGGATAATGGTTAGCTTAAATCTTTATCATGAATTGTTCGTTTTCAACGGAAGAATCGTCGTGTTTTGAGAGTGGAGTTGGATCCGATATTCGGCGTCCACTTAGGGTGCAAACAAGATATAACCTCGCGCCTTGTCAGTCTTGGAATTAAGTGGAAAGCGTGGTCGAGGAGAAGCAGAAATCAGCGAATCAGAACTGATTTTAAACCGGGCAGGACATATTGGCATTTGAAGAGAAGAAGAAAAAGACGCTCTAGCGATTAGGCCAAAACATAGAAAACACTTAACTACCGACTGGCCTGGCCGTAAGAATTACTGACATTTGCTGTTACCCGGGTCATCAAGGGTTGAAGAGGAGACTAAGTCCCCCTAGACGTGTTAACGCAAAAATGTCTGCAGAAATATTTGTTGAGTTCAAGGAGATTGTTCCTATCGGGGCAGGTGAGTGAAGACTTCTCTTCATTTAGTCAATTCTGGCATACTCACGTGCGGGTTAGGTTATGGGACGTCTGATACGTGCGGTTCATTGCACTGTTCATTCATGTCTTCAGTTACACTAGTTTTTAGAGGCATGTAATGTTGAACAAAAGTAAACGGCATAAAACCATGGAATGACGATTCACTAATATTATACGAGGTACAAAACATGTATGCCAATGAAATATAAAATGCCAATACAATAAAGCGAAGCTGATAAATTTTACGCTTATAAAAAACCAATCTTAAAGTTGTTTGCGCAGGTGCTCTATAAAGTCTGCGAATTATGCCTCATATAAAAATTGGGCTACTGAGTTGCTAGTGAGAGTATTATCAGTTATATACAAAACGTTTTAAAAAAACTTTGAAGTAAACATGTATTATTTTAATATAAAAATTAAGAAGAAAAATACCATTGGCTTAGCAAAAAGAATTGTGATATATTTGCATTGTTCATTTCCAGTAAAAGTGTCTGGGAGGGAGGGTTAGAGGCGTGGCAGTTTGTGATGAGTGGGCTGCGATTCTGATTGTTTTCTGTTGTTGTTTACTCTTGATAGCGATCTGCACAAATTGTAGGCTGGAACACTATAAAATACGCGAGAAAAGTGAATTTGATCTACGTTTGGATAAAGGCATGGAACAGGTCAGCAATGGGCCATTTGAACCATGACGTCTTTTTACTTATAAGGCCAGAATTCATTTCGTTTTTCATTTCATATTTAAATTTGGTAGCCCCAGTAAGGTTTAATTAACAAAAGCCTTAATTTGCACAAGAAAGCAATACCCTGAAGGATTCTGGTCGTAGTAGTAAAATGACGCCATCGTGCAAATGGCCTATAGCATTGTATATACGCGAGTCCTGAACGAAAGCTAGCGTTGACTCACTAATTACTTGAGTTTACTAGATGAAGTTTACATTATATAGTTGGAACTGTCGATGAAATCAAAACTGGAGAAAAATGTGATATTTACAATGATAGAAACACGTGAACGAAGGGATTTGAACCCACGCAGTCCCAGAAGACCGGTCAGTTTCCCTAAATTCTAACCCAAGGGGGATAGCCAAGTCCATAATTGTATAAATTTTGTTTTCACAAGAAATCCTCGTGAAAAATTTGACATCACGGAATTCAAAACCGTGGTAACCCCATCTTGAAGATGCGATGTTCCTACAAAATGAAGCAAACATTTTCTTCTTTGTTGGGTTGCCTCATATTTTACGCTTACGTTTACATTATGCATTTTCTGAGGAATAATTTAAGTGGAGTTTATGTGGTAAGGACTAGTTTGTGAAGAACATGAGTTCGTTTGCGTGAGTTAAGGTGTGCAAAATGAATAACGTTATAGCCTGAGTCTATGCTCCGCAGAGGAAGAAAAAGGCAAAAAACGAGGTGAAACAGGGCGCCACCCTTTCCCCATCCCAGACTACCGCTCAGCTCGCTTCACTCGTCGATTTTTTTTCGCCCTTGCTGATTTATTTTTCGCCTTTTTCCTCCACTGCGGAACCCTGTACCAGGTTACTGATGTTAGGATTTATTAGTCCACTGCCTGGTTAGATGTCATCAAATAGTTTGCTGTTATCTAAGAACTGGCCAATGGTGAAACTTCAGAATAGGAGAAGTGCTTACAGTGCAAATACGTATAAACGCAGTATAATAAAGGCGGAGATAGTCAATTCGTCTCAATGAACTCAACTATTGGACCAAGGCTCGGCTGGTAATGGTTATTCATTATCTAACTATTTTTTTACAGGAAGCTGGTGTATAGTCTTCTTCTCTTGATTCCAGATTCCGGGACATAGAAGAAGAAGAAGATCGATGACTTAGTCATCCGAAACGAAACGAAACGAAAGCAAGAATAGACTTCGAAAATAAGGAGTGCTTTCGAGCAGTGCAAGCCTGGAAAGCACATTTGCTTCGTTCTGTTAATCAAGAAAAAGCAAAAAAGAACGCTCTTACTCAGATTGACGAAGAATCAAGCCTGATTATCATGGACTGGGCGATGAAATAGCGCTGCTTGAAGTCTTACATTTGGGTTATATATCTTATGAGGCAAAAGCATGTGAAAAAGCATTAAAATAGGTAGCTGTAGGTCATAATAGTTTGTACCACTACAGACAAGTAAAACAAGACGACTAGTGTGATATATTTATCTTTTTACCTTACTGAATTGACACAGTTTTTCAGATTATCCTCGTTATTATTAGCTTTGAATGGTTTTTCTTATGCTCGTGAAGGTCGAACTTTGCGGAGAATAAATCCGCGGGGATTCACTGCAGCGTGCCACATAAANTAATAGTTTGTACCACTACAGACAAGTAAAACAAGACGACTAGTGTGATATATTTATCTTTTTACCTTACTGAATTGACACAGTTTTTCAGATTATCCTCGTTATTATTAGCTTTGAATGGTTTTTCTTATGCTCGTGAAGGTCGAACTTTGCGGAGAATAAATCCGCGGGGATTCACTGCAGCGTGCCACATAAATATTTTTTGGCGGGAAAAAATTCGTTTTGTCTAAGGGGTGTTTCAAGAGGTTAAACGCTTACCTGTGTCGATGTTTAGAAGTAAATAATCTTTCACAGGTAACTAAACAACCTGATTATCTCAGCCCATCTTTGTCTAGTAAATTTTCGATTTACCGTTCAGACAAATATTTTTGTATGTTATTTCTTCTCTGAAAATTTCGCTTGATGGCATTTTAGTGTGACTTTCGAAGCCGGCCATAGCGATTTACCTAAAGGTACCAATTTTAAGTTTGCTGTATTTTAATAAAGGTACAACAGGCTATTGATACAATAATTTTCTTTAGAAATGAACCACGCACGTTTGCAAAACACCACCGCGAAAATGGCCAAAATTTGGCTCACATTCGTTATCAGTTCGGTGCTAATATTAAGTGCGACATTGAAAACATAGAGTTAAGCCCAAGAAAGATTGTTATACTCCAATCAGTTTACTGTTGGTTGGAGATGTGAAAAAATGTATGGCAAGCTTTTCTCACTTTGCTTTCCTTAATGTGAGGTTCGACAAGAGTTGGCCAAAAATCAAGCTTTTTTAGGCCTGTGTAGGGCCCTGATTTCAAGAAAATCTTTATCTTAAAATAAAAAACCCACCAACTTCTGAAAATACCACCGTTGATAATTTTTTCAGGGTGGCTTTTGTATGGTAAAAAGGTGGAGGTCAAACGCCGACCTCGATCTTTTGCTTCTGCCCGGTTTTGTCTGGCACTGACACTTAAATATGGCGTAATAAAATCTTACCTAAAGCTACCAAAAGTATGGAAGCGTTGAGGACGACAAACAGTATGTTAATTGTTAACGAATCATTTCCTTCGGTGTCGTCAGAGGTGCTGTACATTGCCCCGAGGCAAACGTCAAAGAAGATGACCCAGAGCACAAAGGTTTGAAGAAGGTCTTCAAACTTGCTTTTTATTGGTCGAAAGAAGGTGTAGGCCACACCAAATACACTCACTACTAGTACGGTCAGACCAATTTGGGTAACGCCCTCAGAACCGAAGAGGAAGATAAAAGATATTAGTGTCAGCTTGCGGTACATCTCGGTTATCTCCCAAAACCAAAATTTGTCCTTGTAGTTTTCATAAAAGACTTTCATTCCAAAGGTAAGTTCTTCATGGAACTGCGATCTTCGGCACTTGCAAATAAGAAACAATACCAATAAGGGAAATCCAATGGGGTGGACGGAAAATACGCCAGCGACAGGCCAGTACATATTGTGCCGGGCGGTGAAGCAATGGAGGGAGTAGTCACACTTCAAGAGAAAGATACACTGATTTATATCATCTGTGAAACAATGCGTCACACATGCACCTGGGAGAGGAATAATTTGGATGATGGTTTTGCTTGTCATTGGATATGACGCCAGTAAGAACAGGAAAATATTTCGATAGCAGGATTTTTTCAAGCTCGAAACGTCACGTATTTTTTCGCTGTCGGGACAATCCTTTTTGTTCCAAATGTATCGTTTTTTCAAAAAGACGTAAGAAAGAATGATGAACACAACAAAGAAATTAATAGAAAGAACCAGGATGAATTTTGAGAACGCATTCAGTCGCATTTGAGAATAGATGCAGCTTAACGGTGCAAATTGAAAAATATTCCCTTCAGAAACTCTGAGAAATTTTTCCATGGGGATCAAAGTTACCGGCCACTTTACTCTCGCCAATGCTGTAAAAATACCCGAGATGACTTGATAAAATCCAATAACGATTTTGAAACACGACATGATGACATCTGCGACAGTACGATTATTATCAGTTTCCTTTGAGTCGCCCCAAAAAACCATCAGGAATACGACAACAAAACACAGCGTAACAAAAATGGTTGAAAGGATAGCAACAGCAAACCTTGGACATTTTATGCACGTGTTAAATCTTAGGTAGTAGCCAGTTCTGCAAGAAGCGCATAAGGTTCCTTTGTATCCTTCATTGCAATCTGAGTCAATTCCACCCTTGCAAGACCCAGCATACGGACATTTCACTGGCTTTGGAAGTGAAATGATAAATTTGGAGTAGATCTTATTGTAATCAGATCCGTGTGAGCGGATGTTTAGCACAAAATTCTTATAGGATTCGCTGTTGTTTTTATTTGTCCATTTCCAGTAATAGTCAAGTGCAAGTATTGCTGTGCCGCGATCGCAGTTGATGCCGTCAGCTGGACATTCTGAGCATGGGCCAAAACGATCCAAGCGATAAAATCCCTGAAGACATCTGCATGCACGAAAACCAGCGGTTTCATTGGAAAGCGTACCTGTAGAAAAAAAATAAAACGTTTAACATGTATGTAAAGAAATCATCAAGCATATCTTAGCCCAACTATACAAGAGATAATGGTAGCACTTTCTTACGGCAGTAAAGGTGACATGTGGTTAATAGTTGATCTAAGAGATTATACTCATGCCAAGTTATGTTGATGACGGCTCCTACCGTATGGACATGCTTTACAGTCAGTCGCACTTGTGCCGGGGTGTCGTTCCCATGAGACATAAGTCCCTAAGCTACATTTCTTGCATTCTATCTGCCCCATTTGGTCCTGGTAGAAACCTCCTATGTTAATATTAAAAAAAGATCAAATCATTTGAATTTTTGCCTCAAGAGAGGGAAACCAGAATCCAAGTTTCATCGACAAATACTGGAATCTAGTGCCTGGAATCCGCAATCCGTGGAGTGGAATCGATTGGTTTTGGTAATGAATTTGCTGTCATCAAATATGAATTACTGAAGCCTGACGCTGATTAAATCCACATAGAAATACTTGCCATGATGATAATGATAATGATAATGACGATGACAATGATAATGACAATCTTAGTGATAATGATAATGATAATGTTAATGATAATGATAATAATAATGATAATGACAATGATAATGATAATGATAATCACAATGATAATGATAATAACCATGACAATGATAATGATAATGACAATGACAATGATAATAATAATGATAATGGCAATGATAATGATGATAATAATGATAATGACAATGATAATGATAATAATGATAATCACAATGATAATGATAATGATAATAATAATGATAATGGCAATGATAATGATAATGGCAATGATAATGATGATAATGATAATGACAATGATAATGATAATAACAGTGACAATGATAGTGATAATGATAATGACAATGACAATGATAATGATGATAATGACATAATAATGATAATAACAATGACAATGATAATGATAATGATAACAATGATAATGATAATGATAATAATAATAGTGTTAATGACAATGATAATCATGATAATGATAATGACAATGATAATGATAATAACAGTGACAATGATAGTGATAATGATAATGACAATGACAATGATAATGATGATAATGACATAATAATGATAATAACAATGACAATGATAATGATAATGATAACAATGATAATGATAATGATAATAATAATAGTGTTAATGACAATGATAATCATGATAATGATAATGACAATGATAATGATAATAACAATGACAATGATACTGATAATGATAATGATAGTGATAATAATATAATGACAATGATGATGATGATAATGATAATGACAATGATAATGATAATGATAATGATAATAACAATGATAATGATAATGATAATGATAATGATCTAATGACAATGAGAATGACAATGACAATGACAATGATATTGATAATGATAATGATAATGATAATGATAATGATAATGATAATGACAATGACAATGACAATGATAATGATAATGACAATGACCGTTTAAGATGGCCCGATCCTATTTACATGCGCATTGGTTATGTTTTTGAATCGGGTTTTTCGGCAGGAATCATTTAACCGATTTCCATGATTTTTGGCATCTTTAAAAAAGAATAGTCGAACGTTCAGAAAATGTTACTTATTTTCTTTTAGGTATAAAAACGGTTAAGATGTCGACATATGTTTAAAATGAAAATGGATCGTTTGAAGTACTGGGGTTGGTGGCTTTATTTCTCCTCAAGACGGGAACCTTCAGTGAGAAAAACTGGTAGGAGATTCCGTAGATCTTACATCGTGCTTTGTTGAGATTTTTTTGCGAAAAGAGCAGAGCAAAAATACACAGTAACTTAGATAAATAGAAATTACATTTAATCTTGTCCCGCATTCAGCATAAAGTTGTTCTTCTTGTATGACGAACTGTATTCGCCGTAGGTTTCTGATTACTCAGTTTCTTGCAACTGAAGGTTTGGGCAAGAATACCCTTGTAGATAGGAGATAGTCCGTCGGCAGTTTTCCTCTATTGGTGTGTCAACTTTCACAAATATGTTGGCGTTGCGTTTTAAGGTTAAATTTGACCAGCTATTTGTGCAGCGAGTTCTACGGTGACGATTGACTTCAAACTTGCAGATATAAAATCAGAGAGCTCTCAGACTTATTTGCCGACGTTAGAGAAAAATCTGTCTTAGGGTTTTGAAATTATTGACATTTTTTGTAAAAATGCGGTTTCAAACATATGTCGATATTTCAAACGCTTTTATACATAACAGAAGATGAATTGCATTTTCTTAACAATCGACCATTCTTTATTGAGGATACCAAAACTAATAGAAATCGGTTGAATCACTGCTGCCGAAAAAACCGATTTAAAAAACAACCAACTTGCAAATAAATAGGTTCGGGGGCCACCTTAATGTAAAGGTAAATGATATTTATTTTGCAGGGTAAAAAAATCACTTTATGCTGCTCCTTATAAATCCATTCAAACTTTCGGTAAGTGACTTCCGGAACAACGCTACGTCACACTCCTTAACAGTCATACCCTTCCCTTGTACCAAGCAGTGTGCTCCACACCTTCTACTATCCATTTATCATATTTGTCTTCCTTGGCGAGCGTCGGCGGTTTTCAACCTCACCTTTTCTGAGAACAAAGCTGTTTTAACGGTTAGGTCATCCTCAGGTATGAATGATTGGCAAATGAATTCTGTTTCATTTATTTAACTGATAAAAAGCCGCTCACGTTCCTCACTTAAATGTGTTGTCCGCGACTGTGCTCACACGGGGGTGGCTCCTCCTAGAATGTTTTGCAATTGGTATTGGATTTAATGGAGCCGAAACCAATTGTGGAATTGCACGCATTTTGGGCATCCTACTGATGAACAGTTGGGACACGTAGATATGTTTGTTAGCAACTACTATAATTTGCACTATGTCTACTTTGAATTGAATAATAATAATAATAATAATAATACAAATTTTAATATAAGCAAGCGAATATTAACGTTAAAAGCCGACGTTTCGGTACCATCATGACACCATTCTCAAGGCAAAATGAATAAATAATGCGAAGATTTGACAAAATTGATTGCCTAATTAAGGAGATGCTCTTCATAAGAAAACTCAAACCATCGCTAAACGTGCAGGGGGACTCGATTCGCGCAGAGGTATGCACTTGAAAAACTTGTGATCCTTTGTTATTATGCTAAATTGTAGTGACTGTAGAAAACAAATCTTCGCACTATTTATTCATTTTGCCTTGAGAATGGTGTCATGATGATACCGAAACGTCGGCTTTTAACGTTAATATTCGTTTGCTTATGTTCTAAGAAATCGTTTTTTATCAATAATTTTAATAATAATAATATCGCAAATATCTATATGAATATAATCAAATAGAGTATACAGTATAAATTACCATTTTAATAAAAAATCTCCCGTAATCCTTTCAATCATTATTTTAAGCTTTATTACTATATACCTAGAAGAATCATCTGGGGTGATGAAGTCATCAGATGCTTTTTGTTTGGGGCATTTAAAAAACAGTCCACTTAAACACTTAAGGGGGGCAATGAACATGAGGGAAAACATCGGAGAGACTAGACCATTTGACATACCTGCAGGACAAGGCTTACAAGAGCCATTACGACTATAGAATCCAGTTGTGCAAAAGGAGCAGTTACCACAACACTTGATGTTACTGCATGAACGCCTACATGATTGGCAAACAAACCCCGATCGCTCAAATCCGCTTCGGAAGTTTATACTTTCTTCAGTGTTCAGAAGGACATGAAAAGTTGTTGAAGGAGCACAGTCACTATAAACAATATAGATAGTAGCATCGGTAACTTCCAGTTTACCGGCATTTTAAGCTGACACTAAGCGACGAGTGATGCGAAAAAGATTAGATATAAACAGACCACAAAATCGGGGTAGAGTGTTTTCCCGCGATTTTTGATTAGAAAAATTGTATACGTATAGTTTAATTATCATATGCACCTAGTCAAATGGTAAAAGCGCTACTCCGAGTGTACTATTCAGTCCACGATTTGAGTGCGACTATAGCTACTTCAGTGCTTATCAGTCCTCCCAACTACATCCATCCACCCATCCATCCATCCATAAACTCTCTTTTACCCTGAACTTAAGTTCAGCTAAGAGAGGACCAGCTAACATGGAAGGATTTGTCGCGGCCGCCCCTTTTCCTTTCGAAATTTTGGTTTTATTTTTATTTGACATTTGTCAACTATTTATTTGCCCTTCCACATACCTATTACATAATTATATTGGATAATATTATATCTGGGCAGCAGCGCTCAGCAAACGCTTTTGGGCTTTACGAGGCGAGCCCCTGAACAAGTTTAATACAATGATTTATTTTAGATTATAAAAAAGATGTGGGTGTGTTACGGGGATTACAGTAATTAGTGAGCTAAATAAAAATAATTCTTCAAGTAAATACGTTTGTATAGTTAAATGAAATTGTAATTTTCTTCCTTGAGGAGAAAATGAGTTTTAATTTTTTTCCTGAACAAATTAAATGTCTTAATTTCTTTCATAGATTTGGTCAAGTTATTCTATATTTATACAATTCAGTATTAGAAAAATAAAAAAATATATCTAGAATATAGCTGGTAAGCCGTGTCCCGCCACTGCTTACTGAATTTTCTGGATAAGCTAATATCTTCGCAAGTAAAAGAAAAAACGATTTCAGTGAATAAAATTATAAAAACTGTTCATGTCAAGATCTGTTCATTTTGCATTACTTCGTTTTTGAAACATCGGTGCAATGGTCTATTGATTTCTCAAAGTCGTTTAACATTATCACCTATTTTTCGTTACAAGTTATTAATGCATTTTTGGAATGTCATACAAAGTGCCCCACGAAAACGAAACGAATATCAAACGAATATCACGAAAGGAATTTTTGTCGGTTTTTTTAATATGGGCTTTCGAATTGTGCAAAACGATTTTTTTAGCTCATTTTTGTTGTTGGTAGCATAGACTTTTGACTATTTGAAAACCTAATGATTATTTTGCTAAGCTGAAATCTTAAACCAATTGTGGTAGAATTTCCTTGTCTGTTTCCATCCGACAAAAGTTTCCATAAGGCCTAGGGCGACTGCTTATAACGCGGCTATTGAACGATATTTGGTAAGGTTTCACACTGAATGTGTAATCGAAATGCCTTGCAACGAGAGACTCAAATAACAAACCTTCGTCACATTTGACCACTTTTAAGGTTAAAATGAGAAGTCACCACACGACTGCTTAAAATAAACAAAATTTCAACATAGTCATCATACTCAAAACGTACGTTTAAAATACAGTAAATGGAAGTTAAACCCATAAATGATTGTCCACAGAGTTGCCGGAACAACTTAAGACATCCGTATAAACCGACACAACACGAGAAGAGGGATATCTGCTATACATACATGACTGGCGTATCTCTCCCATGAGATATAGATAGCTGTCGAAGGTTTTTACACGTTATAGACCTGAAGAAAAAAAAAATTCTTAATTGGAAAATACGACCAGATATAAAGTTGAGTCCAGGAAACAAACAATTCCAAGAAACCGGATAACTAGGCTTTGTACGTGGTTGCCCCTTATGAAATAGCAAATTGTATTTTAGATATACTAGCGTTTTAAGATCAACAGCTGCTGTATTCTTTATTGTTGAAAATTGATGATAATCATGCCTAAGTGCAGCATAATATGACTGTTTGTGTGGACAATTACAAGACAAGACAAGATGATTTATTAAGCTCAGTTTTACATGACATAAAGGTTAAATTTACATAGGCATCTAAACACAGTACAACTAAGAAATAAAAGGAGAATTGTAATAGCAAAATAGAGAGCGAGTTGCAAAGGCTGGATGACCCCTGCAATAAAATACAATAACAGACAGAATTAAGAATATATTTCTTTTTTATGGAAAAAAAAAATGTTTCTTTAGGTGCGCTAAGGCAGATAATTTATTAGAATAACAAATGAGTATCGAGTTCTCTTAAGGATTTAAAGAAATATTCTAAGAGAATTTCGGAATTACTTATACTTGTAGGCAAGGAATTCCAAAGGCGAGGACCAGTGAATTTTAGGGAGCGTAAGCCATATTGGGTGGTATTAACTGAGGCTACATAAAGATTTCTATTACATGATCGTTGAATAGGAATGAACAGAAGAAGTAGATTTGAAATATTCACTGAAACAAGGGGATAACAGTCTGCGTGACCTCTGATGAACAAAAGGGAGTATATGTGATTCAATGGCATCGTTGAGCTTAAGTAGGTTGAGAGATCTGAACAGAGGCTCAGAATGAGATTTTGGTTCAGAGAAACATATTATTCTGATTGCTCTTTTTCTGGATAATACATAATTGAATAATTGTGTTAGAAATGAGGAAAAGGTTAGACCCCAGACATGGACACCATAAGTGAGGAAAGGATAGATAAGAGAGTAGTAAAGCATGACAAGAATATGGTTGTCAAAAAAAAATGTCTCAATTTTGACAAGATACCTGCTGTTTTTCACAGTTTCAAACAAAGCTCATTAATATGACTTTTCCAGGTTAAGTTGGAAGCAAATGTTATGCCTAGGTACTTAGTATAGACAACTTGTTTAATAAGTGCATTATCAATTAAAAAAATTAATGACTGATTAGGTTTAAGTTTACGGGAATGAACAAGAATAAAATTAGTTTTGGAGATAGTAAGTGCTAATCGATAACATTTCATCCATTCGGCAACAGATTTTAGTTCATGATTTAGGGTTGCTTCAAGGTGACTAAGGTTTTTGCTAGAAAAATAAAGACTGTTCTCATCAGCAAATAGATGAAATGTTAGTAAGCTAAAAGTATTGGGCAAATCAGTTACATATAATAAGAATAAATGGGGTCCTAGAATAGATCCTTGTGGAACTCCACAAGTGACTGGTAAGGAAAGTGTGTTATGACCGTTAACATTTACAAATTGTTCTCTTTTGGCTAAGTAGGATTTAAACCAACCATGCCCAACACCTCTTATTCATAATGGTTAAGCTTAGTTAAAAGGATTGCATGATTAACAGTATCGAATGCTTTTTTCAAATCTAATATATAGATTTAGCCAGGGCTAAAAGCGAGGGTCCCATTAATGAATTTATAATTTAAATCAAACAATAAACTTGTATTCTACAGTTCAGTTAACTTTAGAGCACATTCGTGTGACTTTTTAGGCAAAGGCTAAGTGATTTTACAAAAAATAATTTGCAAACAGCCCAAGAGCAAATCTCAAATCGAGTTGATAGCCTCATAAGTACACCCAAAAACTGGCAATCATCTTCGATCACATTTATTAAGAGCCATAATGGCTCTTGATCACCGTAGATTAATTAGGCCTGGAAAAAAAATTCCGGCCGAATTTTTTGCGTTCGCCAAGTTTATTTTACAAAATCTTGCCAAAAAATCTGGGTGCGTGTAAACCAACCTTTTATATCATTTATACATCACATCTGAGGTGAAACAGTACTATGAGGCACTGTTTTTATCATACAGACCTCGGACAACAGAGTGCAGTATTTCACAATATTGCGATACAAATTGCTATTCAGGACGATCGAAGCACGCGTGGGCTTTAGCCGTAAACCGTTGAAAAAATTTTCAAAATCATCTATACGGCCAGCCGGTTGTGACTTTTACAGTGGTAGCAGTGGCGAGTGTTTGAACGAACATTAACAGAGTTACGCTCCAACATAATAAAAAATTTATTATGTTTATTTTTTATTTTAAAACGGTTTAACGTGCGGCATTTTGAGTACTCCGGGAAGCTTTGTTTACTGAACGACTGAAAACAATCTGCACAACGATTAAAATTACAAGAGAGAGTACTAACAATCAATAAAACAAATATAATTCGGTAAAACTTATACAGAGACGACAATTTTCATTCAGGAAGACAAGTATTAAAGTGTCTCTAAAAATCCTGAGTCTTCGAGCTTAAAGCTGAAGTTTATGTTTTAAGCCGGCTTCCCGGTGTTTGCTTTTTTCAAAGACGAAGTCGAGGCAAGAAAATCGCTCAAACCTTTCTTTTACAGCCAGACTGTATAACTAAATATTCTTTGAAACGTTTTCTTTCTATTTGCGGTGAGAAAATGTCTAAAGGCCTTTTAAAGATCTGTAAGCTTATAAGAAACCTGATACTCGGTCAGATCATTGTCTCAAATCTTACAAACGTGCGTAAACAAAATAGCCGCATCAACTACGCTCGACTTCATTAAATCAGGAATAAAAAACAAACATCAATAATTACTTAGGCTTACCACTCGAGATGGAACTCCTGAAAGGTATTAAGTAACGCCAGTATCGCTTCAGACTTTGCAACCCTCTTAGGCATTAAGCAAGATGAAAACGAAAACGATGCCATCCGAAATCGGATTTCCGACTTTGACTCAACCAAAAACCCAATAAACAAACTAGCCATGAATAACAGAAGACTCCTGATAGCAGCTGAATTTCATTTTGTACATCCAGTGGAAAAAGAAAGTTAAAAACAAAACTCTGTCAGCTTCAGCTGTCAAAGTAAACAAGATTCAAGATGCTGCATAAATTTTCCGCCTGAACTCACCTGTCAAATTTTGACCAATCAGAACATAAAAATTGGACGTAGAGCGTGACTAACGCGTGAACATGGCGAGCAAAGTCAAAAGCAACTGTCTCCCCTGCCTGTAGCAGCTGGCTGAATTTTCGCGTCCGGGGTCAGTTTGAAATCAAAATTTTAATTGTGCGGCACATAAACACAATTTATTTCATATGAATTTTAAAAAATTAAACTTGAGCCTGCGATCATTTGAAAACCAGTACCTTGTCAGCGGATAACTTCAAAAAAACACTTTGACCTAGATGGGTCGACACCTGAGCCCGCGATACAGTCAAGTGATACTGGTCAGCGGATACCTTGTTTTGACAGCTGTCAATGGATCACAACATTGACGTGTATCAGTTTTCCTGTGCTCCGATCCCAAACTAGCTAGAAAATATGAGACTGAACATTGATCTAGTAAAATAATTAACTGGTCAGCGGACAGCTTCCAAGTAAATCACGTCATCTCAATGAGTTGACACATGAACCCGCGATATGGTCATGGGATACTGGTCAGTGGCTATCCTGTTTTGACAGCTGTCAATTGACCATATTGTGAATGTCCAATGTAAAAGATGTGGATTGGCAAGACACGCCTGAGACACCCCTCCCTTCCTTTTGATAGTCTCCCCTACCCCACCCTTACAATTCGTAGACGCGTACGTACGTACGTACGTGCGTACGCTGGGTCAATCACGTGACAACCAAAGGAAAAGAGGTTGACCATAATCTATGGGTATGGGGCTCTGTCCCACGTGCGCTTCGCGCGCGTGGGAGCCCCGCTATAAATATACCACAGCCAAATTCATTATTATCAATGGACGGGCGAATAGATTCAGTGATAGAAATGAGAGCATGGCTAGTCGAAATTTTTTCTCTGAAACCAAACTGAAGTGGATAAAGTACTTTTAGTTCTTCCAAATAACTGTAGAGGCGTTGATAATTAGCTTTTTCAAATAATTTACTAAAGTTGGTAACAACAGAAATTGGGTCAAATCTTGAGCCTTTCTTATAAAAAGAGGTAATCCTCGCTCATTTTAATTTCGCGGGAAAAAGACCACTAGCAATAAAAATGCAAGAGGCTCAGATATATAGTCCCTAATAGTTTTCAAAATAGTGACAGGTACACTGTATCAGCCAGAAGACTTGCTAGCATCCATCTTACCAACAAAACTCCAGATTTCATGCGAAGTGACAGGGGATAAAAAATTGATCCTGAGTAGTTACCCCTAAGATAGAATGAAGGGCTATGACTTTCCCGGGGATACCCTACTCGGTAGTCTTACCAACATTGGCCATGGCAAAAAAGTTATTAAAGATGTTAGCAATGTATTTAGGGTTGTCAACATACTTATTTTTATTCAAAATGAAAGTTGTGTAGCTGTTTTTGCATTTACCAACGTTTAAGATCGACTTACTGCCAGACCACAGCCCTAGCACGTTACGCTTATTTAAAGAAACATATTGATTAAAATATGAAGATTTACTATTTTTTCGGATCTTTAGCAATCCTATTTCTAAATTTCTTATAGAGGAAATGAATTAGGATTTGGTTGTTTACTTTTAAGTACTTTTCTCGCCGGAGCGAACTTCGTAAACTCCGAGATAAAACAAAATTAAACTTCTCCATTCCAAGAGAGTATAATCCTCCTTGACATACCATGGCTTTGCTAACTTTAAGTGTTGGTTTATTCAGTAAGGTATTTTTACTTACACTTTGGCATTGGATGATAATGCGTTCAGCAGACCATTTGGTAATAATGTTAGCGGGTTGCCAAAAAGTGTCCTGGAAGGAAAAACTGATTAATTGCTAACAAATTCAGTAAAGAACAGTTTAATCAAGGACTTTTTTTTTTCTTTGGGGGGGGGGGGGGGGGGGGAGGGGGGGGGGGGGGGGGGCGCGTGGGGGCAGTTACAACCCCCCAAAAAACTCTTTCATTAGAAAAGGGGGGGGAGGGGAGGGAGGGGGGGAAGAACCGAGAGAACAGTTTTAAAGAAAAATAAAAAAACCATTGTTTATGTTGTTTTTTAAGAATACATTGTTATGACAAAAAAAAAGTGTAAAAAACGAAAGAGAAAATAGGAAGTGACGGCAAAAAAAAATAAAAAAAGAGAAAAAAAAAAAGAAGAAATATAAAAAAAAAAAAAAAAGAAATAATATCAAGGTTGGGTTTTTTTTGCGGTGGGGGGGGGGAGGGGGGGGGGGGGGGGGGAGGGAGAGGAGCAGCGTGACGCAATTCAAACCCCCCAAGAAACTATTTCATTAGAAAATGGGGGGAAGGGATGAGGAGGGAGGCAACATCAAGAGGACATTTTTAAAGAACAATAACAAAAACTAGACTAAACCATCGACTTTAGATAAAAATTTGCAAGTGGAGACCAGGTCTGTTGCGAGTTTGCTTAATCTTGTGCTCTTGATCCTCTACCTACCCTAGGGTATAGTTTACTACTGGACGTTATGACGACTATATCTAATTATGATGCCCGAATCATGACCCGTTTTCTATAAACCTCCTCGGGATTTTAAATACTCAAAATACAGTTCCGCAAAGTTGGCAGTATAATTAACCAGGAAGGTTTCTAGTTATCAATCGTATTTCGAGCGCTGTATATTTTTAGGGGAGAAATTCACTTGCAAGGACGCGCGCGCACACGAAGGAGAAAAGGAGAGGAGGCTGATAATTTAATTACGCGACAAAGCTTCAACTGTCAATAAAAGGGAAAAAATGATTGAAAAGTAATCGTCTAACGACATGAAACCGAAAACCAATGCGAATGCGAGAATCAGTGTTTCTGGAAAGTTAAGTAAACCTTTATCAATACTTACACCGTATTAAGGTCGCGGAGGCCGTTAAACGCTTTGTCGCCGATGCTTCTAATCGCATTGTTGTGAAGATACCTGCAAAAACCACAATAGTTAATAATATAACGTATATCTATAATGATATTTATATACCTTAAGTAGGACGTAATACCTATAGGACCATGTCCATGTCCATGTCCATGTCATGATGAGAATCTGTACCATTTCTTGGTACGTTTGCGCGAAATAAAGCTCAAGCTGAATTCAGCCTGTTCATGGAGTTCCAGCTCAGCCCAGACGGAGTTAGCCCATCGCCATCCATGGTCGAAGCAATCACAAAAATGCGCATACCCTCAGACCAACATGCTGACTAGCGCGATTTGGGTATGCTTAACTTCCTTGCAAGATTCTGCCCCAATGTGAGTGATATAGTCTAACCCTTAAGAGAATTGACCCACAAAGACGTCTCCTTCAAGCGGATTGACGCACACGACAAAGATTTTGTGGAGTCCAAGAACCTCATAGCTGCTGCCCATGTCTTACGGTACTTTAATCGATCCTCAGTTGCCTGTCACTCCTCAGGTAGATAAATCTGCTGCTGGAGTGGGTGGAGCCCTCCTCCAAGATAATCAACCTGTGGCATTTTATTTCTAACAGCCACAGAACAAAGAAACGCAATTATTGAGAAATAATTTCTTGCAATATGCCGAGCATTTAAGAAATGGGGCAGTCTGCTTGGAAATGCAGATATCACAATTGAAACAGACAATCACCCCCTTGAAACAATCTTCAAGAAACCCCTTTACAAGGCACTAAGGCGTCTGCAAGTCATCTGCATGGGGCTACAACGATGGTCATTTCTTGTGAGCTACAAGAAAGGAGCGCATCAAGTCATAGTAGACACTCTTTCAAGGGATCCTCAACCTTAACTCTCTGTAGATAATCTCTCTGGAGAACACATATTTAAGGTGGAATTGGTCACTATGGGTTAGACAACTCTGGCATCTCCAATATTACCCCGGAAGACGTGGGAGAGCAAACTTCGATGGATTTAGAACTGCAGAGGCTGCCCTTTCCCATTTTAACTGATTGACAAACGAAAAATTGGACCCTTAGTGCGCCCTTACCTTCAAAGATGAATTATCTCCGGCAGGTGGTATAGTGTATAAAGGGCAGCAGGCGGTCATCCCAAAGTCGGTGAGACCAGCCATGCCAGACAAAACACGCTTCGGAGCAGGTCTATGCATTCGAAGAGCCAAGGCGTCCCTCTTGTGGCCCGGTATGACTTCTGATATCAAGAATAAGTGCATGTCATGCTCAATATGTGCCCAATATGTCGGTCAAGCTATTAAATAGCACATGCTTAGCCAGGATATTCCAGACAGACCATGGTCATAAATTAGCCAAGATATCCTCATGTGGGTAGGAAAATTGCACTTAGTCACTGCATGCCGCTACAGCGACTGGATAGAGATTGATATACTATCAAATAGACTCACAGCAAAAGTTGTGGAGCTCATGAAAGCACACTTTGCAAGGTTCGGGGTACCTGATCGCGTGGTCACAGACAATGGACCCCAGTTCATCAGCACTGAGTAAAAGTAATTTGTCTCTGAGTATGGGTTTGAGCACGTTACCTCTTCGCCATATGGCCACAAAGAAATGGCAAGGCAGGATCCGCAGTAAAAACAGTGAAGAGGATGTATCAAAAGAACAAGGACATTCAGCTGGCTCTACTGGACTTCCAATATACCCCCCATCAAGGATAAGAACACTCTCCTGCTCAAAGGCTACTCTCCCGACGCAAAACGGGTATCCTTCCTATGATGCCTTGACTTCTGCAGCCTGCTGTTGCGTAGTTTTGAACAGTCAAAACAGCTGAGATTGAGGAGCACCGTACTAGAGCAAAACTGAAATTTGGGAGGAATGCCCCATGATGCAATTCAATTCAATGCGAAGACCTATATGTCCCTGTCAGGGGGGGGGGGAGGTGACTCTATTGTTTTCCACCTAAGTTCCTTGACCCACTCCGCCTGCCAGTATGACGTCAAATAGTAACGGGCGAGAGCCTTGGGTCACTTGTGCAAATTAGCAAGGGGTACGACAGTTATTTGAGCGAGCAAGGAAAAGCTAAGAAGCTAGCATATATCGCTATATATCGTTTACTTGATTGATGTGCGTGAACTTTGGTGTTGCTATAATCTGTTTGTGTAAACCGTTTTGATATTTTGTGTCCGTGATTGTATAATTTTGTTACTTTGTTTTGCCGGCCGTGTTGCGGGATCGCCACCTATTTCACGGGACCGGCAAGGTCAACAAAGCGTAAATCTTCTTTTTCTCTAAAGTAAGCAAGTTCTAGTCTCCAGAATAGGAGGTTCTATTCACAGATCACACATGTTTATATTTCTTCTATTCTTTTGTTGATTAAACGGGCCTAACTTCATATCATTCCTTTCTCGTGTGGGCCTCTGTTGATCTCCTAATTCTCCACCAAATCCAGTAAAGCTAGTTCGATCGATTACCTATATCGAGTCGGCCCGTTGAACCCGAAATAATGCGAAATAGCTTTGAAATACGCGCTTAAGCTGTTAATTTTCCTCAAATGTATATTTGAATTAATGATAAATACAGCTCCACCAGCTTCAAACAGCGTCTATGACAGAGAAAAATTGTTTTGATATGACAAAATTAATTTGTCAAATCATATGTGTCACTGTGGTGCAGTGATCAAGTAGTTGCTTGAACGTGCAGATAAACCGGGTTCGACTCCCGGAGACGCTGTTTTCTGTTTTTTGTACCGTTTTTTTTCTGTTTGGTCTCTTTTTTTAACAATACTTTTCCTTTTGGCCTTTTTTTTCTTTATTCTTACTGCTGACCCTGCTGGTCATGCACTTGTATCAGTATATTTTAAGCTTAAGTCCGGAGTTTTATTTTGCCAAAGGGATTTCAAAAGCTCTTGATCTGCATACTGGTCAATCTTACGACCAGAAAAAAAACAAAAACATAAGCTCTCAAGACATGTGCCTCCTCTGAAACAGCTGAATGTTTTTCAATGTTAGTTGACATCATGACAAACAACACACAGTACACCACAAGCTGTACTTATTTACACCCAACACCCACCACTGGTGACCACTGGCGAAAGTTAAACCAGTGCCTTTGTACATCGTCTTAATCATCAATATTATTACCCTGAAATCTCCTCTGGGGAAGAAATAATTAAGCGAAACGTTTATTATTTTCGGGATTTAATCACAGAATTACAGGTGTACGCCCAATGCAGCATTAAAATGCGGTAAAGCAACAAGATTCAATGCTCACAGACTCTCACAAATACCTGTCATTTAGCTTCCTCTTTTAACGCCACAGCTAAGCGAACTTTGAAAGGAATGATATGGGGTTCCACTAGCGCTGAAGAGCTGAAAATGCGCACAATGTAAAGTATAATACATCTTTTGATGAACCTCTTGTTGCTGTGTCTAAACTCCTCAATCTAGCTGTGCACTGGCCCTCAAAAGTGTGACCGGTCGGTATAATTGCCCGTAAAATTTGCTCGACGATAGAAAGGAATCTTTAAAATTCATTACACCTCTGGACATTTCATTCCAAAAAAGTGTTTAAGTCTAGTTTTCTATGACAATAGAAACCTTAAAATCTCCAAATCCAAGAAATCTGAACAGTATTTCCGTGATGAAATCGCAATTTTTATCCGTCTCTTCAATGAACACTTTGCTCGCCATTTTGAAAGTTACTGACACAAGACGTGACGTCATACCGGCAGGCGGACTGTACCATGAATTTCCTTCGAGACACCTTCCCCCCTGGTCCCTGTATACAGGTCGTCAAACAGAACATTCAGACCCTAGTAACGGTATCGCATCACCAGCCCAGCCGCTACGTTTGACAAATGACCCGATGCCACCTCTGAACCAAGGGCTGCAGTCACCACAAGGGAAGCCCCCTAACCCTAGGAACCAACGTCCCCCAACAAAGAGCCACAGTCCAGTTATAGAAAGTCCTCAAGTCCAGCACCAAAGCAAAGATTCAGTGGCCAGCGAACCAAATCAGACGCAGCAAAGATCTTCAAGAGTGCAGAAATCATCTCAGTCCACAGAGAGGTCGATAAATAGTGATGTACAGCGCACTCTAGGACTAACAAAGGAAGTGATGACTCGATCAGGGAGACTCTTGAGACCACCAACCCACATAAATTTGTAGAAACAAACTGAGACTTTTTGGACTTTATTGTGTGAAATAGAAACATTTATTTGGACACCTGAACATTGAGTTCTAAGTCTTTGTTGACGAAACGCTTTTAGGGGTAGCCGTGAAAGCCAGTATTTTTTATGTTTAAACTATGAAACTGTGAACTTTCTTGTTAGCCCGGATCATTTGCTCTTAATATTGAGATACTGTGTTATAAGTTTTTTTTTGAAAAAAAGGGGGATGTTACATCATACCCCCAGCGTTGTTATATCAGACCCCAGCATGCTTTGGGGTGTGTAATAAACATGACATCCATCTTGTGCGTTTAGACTTCGTGTCTTCTAACAGGAGGAAGTGATAAATTTATCGGAAGAATGTCTGTTCAATAGAGGTTAAGAATTTTAGCTAAAATACCTGAGTAAAGAGATTCAGGCTTCATAACATTTCACTTCGTATTTTACGGTCAGTTCAACACCCTAAATTCAAAGTTTCAATTCAACGATTTTAATGAACAAATCACAACTATTATTGCTGAAAAGCTCTGAACCTTGTAGCGACTTTAATTTTCAAGTACCCATATAAAGGAATCCGGATTCCACCCGGAATCAAAGTTCAGCCTGACAAAGGCCGGAATCCAGTACCTGGAAACCAAAATCAATGGCGTGGAATCCATAATGCAAGACTGTCGTCGATTTCCTTTACAAGGAGTTAGCAGAAGTTGTGCTGTAAAATTTATCATATATGTTATTGTTACCAAAGATCCAAGCTTATGTAGTTTTGCAGGGAAAGCGCAACACAAGTTCAGTGGCTGTGAGCTTCGTATCGTACTCTGAAAGGACATGGCTGGGATCGCTATCGTCCCAGAGAATCAAATGTTCCACTTTCGTGATATGTATATGTATGATCAGCATTGAAGTTTATCATCACATTTTTAAAGCAAATTACGGGTGTGTAACTATTTTTCACTCACAATGATCCCAGGCGGGTGTTGACAAAAACGTTATCAGGAATAGACGTCAAGTTATTATGGATCATCATCCTTAAAAGAAAATGATTATTTAGAACAATTGTGCCTGCTTTCTATAGTAATAGTACAGAAGTAATAGAGTTTTATATTAACAGCCTACAATGTATACATACACTTGTTTTATCGAAAACTGATTCATTTTGAGGCCGCTAACTATATTTGTCAGACCTGCTTGGCCATACTAGTCAAGTCTTTAGGAGAATCCTACTATTAATCATAACTATCTAGTCAGATCAGTTTATCCCTAAATGGTATGCACGGCGGCTGGCCAGTTCTGACTTTTGCAAAGCGCCGTAGAACTTTGCTTTAACATGCTTTATCGTTACTAAGTTAATAATTGGTAGTGTTCATTTTGCGGCATAAATCCCCCCGGGGGGGGGGGGGGGGCCTTTTTAACTTAAACTTTTAATAATTTGCTTTGAAAGGGGGCAAGGATGGGGGGGGCGGGAGTTTCCCCCCCCCCTCCCCCTCCCAAAAAAAAAAAAAAGGGGGGTATTTTTAAACTGGGCGTCTCAACATAAAGCGCTGAAGAGTTTTTTTTTAAACTATTTTATTTTTTTAATATTTAAAATTTGGTGTTTTTTTTTTTGGGAACAAACCCCCCCGGGGGGGGGGGGGGGACTCTCTTACATTAACCTTATAGATATTGCTCTGAAATGGTGTCAAGATTGGGAGAGCCGGACTGTACACCCCCACTACGACTTCCCAGAAATAAGAAAATGGAGCGTATTTTATAACTGGGCTCGACACAGGCAGCCCAGTTAATTAGCAGCATGAGCAAAAGGAACACAATGACAAAAACTGCATTCAAAAATGCAATATATCCTCCATAGGACTAAGCTGAAGGAACTTTGAGCTCGTACGAGTTTGAGTGTATGTTAATCAACGTTACATGTTTATTTGAACAACGTAACTTTAGAATTTCGACAATACTCGTTTCAAATGTTCTCCAAAGTGAATTTGAAACAAGAAGAGAAGATGCCCTCCCCCTTTCCTCCTCTTCTTAGTCCTTCGAAAGAAACGCGCTTGAGAAAACCTAGCCACACGTGCGAACTTAGCTTATCTCTTCTCATAGTTGCTGACTTGTTACGCATATCTCCAATATTTTTTTTTTAACAAAAACAGAGCCTGTTTTCGGTTTATATAGAAGAAGGGATGCAAACGCTATAAAATACAACGGAAACTTACAATGTTCCTAAGTTGCGAAGGCCAGTAAAAGTGCGTCGGTTTATGTGGGTGATGCTATTGAAGTTTAAACCCCTATGGATTGAAAATTACAGTGCTAAAAACAGTAACGGCAGCTTAGGACATATGAATTGACTTACTTAATTCTCATCAAAGTGATACTAAATAGTAAGGAATTAGCAGCCAAAAAACCTTACAGAAGTGATAATTCGTGGAATTCTTGAAACACATTGTCTGGTATAGATTGCAGCTTGTTAAATGACAGGTCCCTGCAATATGATAACAACGAAGTTGCTTACCGTTAAAGCATCCTAGGTGTATCAGTGTTGTGCAAGGCATGCTCGCAGAGGGTATTAAAAGCAGCGACTTTAATTTAGGGCTACCATCTTACCCGCTAAAGACACTATCAGATCAGAACATGTTCTATCAAAACTAACGCGTTAATGCTCGAACAAAGCTGAAACAAACTTGAACCTGAGTGGTCAAAAGTTAAAAAGAAAACTATGACTGCCTCTTCTGCCTCAATTAGGGTCACATTTTTACGCAATTTTTGTCAGTTATTGCTTTCTACTATTATCATTTTTTCAAAAAGAAGTTGCTCCCTCTTAAAAACAGGAGTCTAATCAATAGACGTGTGTGATAACATTAATGACAAAATATGAATGTATGCTTAATAGTTACATTAATGATCAAAACAGTGAATTGTTTGCACCTAGGAGACATTTCATAAGTAGTTGGAATATAATCTACCAGGTAATTGTAGTCCTTAATAAGTCGTCATGGCTCAAATGTTATTGATATATCAAGTCTGATAATTAGCAATTAATGGATGAGGCTGAGTAGGATATGAAGAATTAAGCAGATCGAGGACGGTGTTATCCACCAAGGCCGAAGGCCGAGGTGGATAACACCTTCCGAGATCTGCTTAATTCTTCATATCCTACGAAAGCCGAAGTCATTAATTGCTTTATTATTCATTCAAAATTCCTAGTTTAAAAACAGATAAAACATGCTTACCTGCATCGATTAAAGTTCATCTTCGATATGGTACGTTTAGGTTTGTCCAGCTCCGCAAATATTCTCCAAATAGCAGATGTTAACCTCTGAGTTGTCTTCTTGCCGTTTTTGCTATGTTTTTAGCTATTATTTCGCTTAGTTCCAGCTGTAGTTCTTACTCTTGAAACAAGTGAAGTGTCCGCCATTTTGGTTTCACAACAAAAGCAACTTAATCTCGTCCCCAGGCCTTCTCGGTTAACTGTGCATTAACCTGTAACGGGCTGTATTTTTGACGTCATTTCCTCGTTAAACACAAAATTTTTCCAAATTTGTCATCAGTAACTGGTTATGTTGAATTATGCGTGTGCTTTTAGCCAATCAGAATTTGGGAAATATTTTGAATGAATAATAACTACAGTTTAATACCATCAACCTACGCTATGGATATCTAAAATTGACTACCGTATAGGTTGTGGATACGTCAGTAACTGTCAACAACAGTCTTATTCAGGATTATACTCACTCGATACGATCATATTTTACCTAGTTATTTATTTTTTCTGGCATCGTGTGGATACAAGAAAACAAGCTGTTTTTGAATCTGAGGAAGACTGAATATGTCATTTAAGGCTCATACCAACGGCTCAAGCGGGAAGATAGTATAAGCTTATCCTGCATTGGATCTTCTTTTACTGAAGCCGAGTCTTTCAACAGTGGAGGATGAAGGGGAGGGGCCAGGGGGGACCGGCCCCCTTTACTTTTAGACCAAACTGAGGCCCGAAGAGCCGAAAAAACATTTTTGGAGACCGGGCTCCCCCCCCCCCCCTTTATCTAAGGGTCTAGATGACCGTGCCTCCATTATCTCAAGGTCTGGATCCGGCACTGTTCAAATATCTTGGCGACGTGATTGATCAGCACTTGAGTTTTAACAATCATATAAAGAACGTAGTCAACAAGATTTCGAAAAAATTAGGTGTTCTAAGGTGTTTGAGAATCTCTTTTCCTATGGCTGCAGCTGAACTCCTCTACAAGACGATGATTGTACAAATTTTTAACTACATTGATGTGACCTAGTAAAGGTGTGGAAAAGTTAACTCTCCGAGAGATTACAGCATAAAATTTTTCCAAATTCTGGTCTCAATATTATATAGTGCCTTTGATCAACAGGCGCAAGCTTCACATTGTTTTCTTAACAAGAAAATGCCTTGAAGGTTCAGTTCCACCCTTTTTAAACAATTATTTTAATTCAGTAGTCAGTAGTGCTTCATTAGTGGGGTGGGGATGTTTTATTCCGTTTATTTGTGGAGGAATTTCATTAACTTGCGGGGGAATACATTAATGCCGATGATGTCTTAACCTTTTGTCTTTGTCTCATGAATAAAATGCCGAGGTCATGTGCAATTTGTAGTTGCTTTAACCGGTTCTACAGGCTTATACTATTTTTAGATGGATGATGTCATAGTTTATTTTGATTATGTGTGTCGTATCCTTATGTGGGTATGATGTCATTGTTTATGTTACTTTAACTAGGATTTTATGTATGGATCAGTAATCTGAAGGAGGAAAAATGGGTATTGAGTAGTCTTTAAAAGTAACAGAGCTTAATCACTATCGTATGATTTCGAAGACCACATCTGTAATGAAATAAAAATGTAAAGAAAAAAAATTGTGTGACCTACCCTGATCAATAATTACTAAGCTGAAAGAAACCAATTATGATCTTTTGACCGCGGAGGAATGGGAATGATTGCAGTTTTCCTCTGCGGAGCAGAATTTTCTTAAAATTTTAACTTTCTGATAATTATTTTGTGAAGTGCGAGTGAATTTTTCAACCGAAAGACGATAAAAATGTGTAAAAGAGGAAGAATGCTTTGTAAGTCACAGTCTTAAGTTATCCATTTACCTAGTAGTATTCAAAGTACTTACAACAAGCCCAAGCATCAAAATATCAAAGTGATAGTCTTAGTGATCATTTTCGTCCACAAATTCCAGTCGCATTCCTTACAAAACAAGCACAGCCGCTCTTGTATCCTAATAACAGCGTCGAATTCAGAAAAAAAAACTCACCTTCCACTTTGTGGTCACTTCAATGGTTTACACGGTTCATGAAACAGTAATATTTATGAGCAAATGCTTGCATGGCCACAGATCCTGATCTACATTTGCATATGAACTCTACATGCGGAGAAAGCTCATGGGACAACGTTTAAACATCTACTATTAAGTAAAACAATAGTTGACTTAAGTCCTAAGAAATGATCAATTTAATAGCGCAACTAGGTAATAAATGCTCGAAATAAAACTGGACACTAGATACCGTTTTAACAACATTATTGAAAAACAATTACAAAAAGAATAAAATATTTAACAATTTGAAACCGATTAAAATATCAATCATCTTCTCAGCTCCCCCTTGGAATACTTGTAAGGTTGGGCTCGAAATTTCTTAAGGCGAGCTCATCTCTTCTGTTTGCCTAGAGTATCATTATCATCACCTAAATAATTTACAATTTGAATGCGAGGCTTTTTGCGTTTCGGCGCTTGTGATGGGTTTTTGTGGTTACTGTGGAAGGAGGAGTCACGAAATAAGGATTTGGGGGGGGTGCGGTGGAATTTTCTGTTTTCTTGATGTTAAGTCTGGATTAGCGCTGATACTTTCTTCCGGCCGTGTTCTTGAATTTAATTGTTTTTTGAAAGCAAGGCATCTGTTTTGCAATTGAAGGTACCGGACGTAAAAAAGTTGTCAGAAAGTCAACAATGTGTTCAAAGTGTTTTGAATAGTACTGAACGACATAGTCTTTATCGTCGCGAAGATCGTTTCGGGAAAGCACATCATCCATATTGCCCTCTATCTCTTTGCATAGCTGGAAGAAGCGGGACAGGAGAAAGATTTTGCAGCTTTAGATGTTTCAGAAGCTTTTGAGGAATATTGTCATGAAGCCCTGCCTGGTTAAAGCCTTCTTCACTGGGTGGGACGTTTGTTCGTAGTCGACAATTATCTTTTGTGGTGATTTTCAGATCAATTAGTTGTGTCACAGCCGATATTTGTTATCTTTAGAACGGAACTCAGTTTCACCAGAGCGTTATTGTAGCAATTCTGCAGTATTCAACAAATCTAGTTTTAACTCTTTCGTATCTTTCTAAAACTCCGCAGCTAAAATGAGCATATTATTCGAATGCAAAATAGCAGGCAGTGACATGTGCACAAATATCGGAACATCTGACATATAATTTCAATAGAACACGTGTACTTCTGTACGTGTCTCTTTGTTAGACAAGAACTATTTTTCAAAATACAAAGAAACAACTGTTGTGCTCTATTCATTCAGCTTGATTTACAACATGTGTTTTTCTAAAGTCCAGGAACCGAAATAGAAAGAATTGTATTTTCACCATAATGAAAAAGTATTTTAAGCAATCGAATTGTAACACGTTGATCAACTAGCACGGGTATTTTTTAATAGGTTTTTGTGTTCCTTTGTGATAATCGAACACCTGTATTTATACTGTAGACTGTATAAAAGCAGTGCTTAAACTGTTGTAAATCGATTACCTAGCCTGCGATTACGTGTGAAGTACTATCTACGAGGTTTACTCTGCAATGAAGAAGTTGCAGCATTACAGAAGAGCTTCTGTTTTTGTCCAACCTTCGTACCTTGGGACGTGGAAATTAGACCCTGTACCTCTGGCAGTAGTAACGAGTGCCAGCAGCGAGCCAGTCGCTCTACCGAATTGCAGTTTCCCCCGTCAATAACTTCCATTAGCTGATCACTATTTGCTAATTCTCGCGCCCTCGCGAAGAGCTTTAGTTCCGTTGTTTTCCTAGTTCGACTTTCCCGCCAATTTGGTTTGACAGGCTGAAAAGCCGCTTGACGCAGTGAATTACCTCTCGTTACAGTTGGTAACCAAAGGGTGTTTTCACAGCCTCTTTTAAGTCAGTCTTCCCGGGATATATTTGCTTGGCAAGAGTCAAAATTTGCAATTTGTCTTGAGGTTTCTTTGGAGCACCAAGTAGTGACTGTTGAAGCTTATGCTACGGCTGCCTTTCCCTTAATGAAAGAGATTCTGCTCGATGGTAAATCACGCTTAGATTTCGATGATGAAAATCACGAGTAAACAGGTAAACAATCCGCTTGTCTTTAATGGCGTCAATCATTTGATCGTCAAACACGATCAAGTTCAAAACAGGAATCTTGTTCCGTGTATACAGGTTGTCACTGTGAATTACACCAAACGGCCCTGTCCGAGGGAAGGTAAATTGCCTCTGATGCTTGTTGTAATAGAGATCGAACC